CTGCTGAACTAGGCGCTAACTCCCTTAACATCAGTGATGCCGTTTACTTTGCTTTTTATTGCTTGTTCCTCACCGCTTTTTTTTTTTTTATTTTTGGTGCAAGCTTTGCAGTTCACCTTGGGAATGATTTCTTGCTTCTTTGGGCAGAGCAGAGATGCGCTTTGGGGAATCAGTGAGAAGGAGCTCTCAGGTTCACACAGTTGTGCAGACTTCTTCAGAAGAATGCCTACCAAGCATCTTTAAAAGATGCTGGAAGTACATGAGGGCAAAATTGAGATTTTTCACCTAGAACCTGAGAACAGAGAACTTTTAAAGTATCAGAGCACTGTTTTTAAAATAAATCTTTTCTCTTATGGTTCCATTAAACATCTTCAGAATCTCTCCAGAGTGGTGGTCCCTGTGCTTTGATACTTTAATGACCTTTGCTCTTCTTTCTTGAATGAGAGATTTGTAACCTGACTGGCATGGAACTGGAAGAGGAGCAAACATTGTGTATCACCTCCCCTAGTCATGCACAACGTTAATGTCAATTGGGAGAGCACAAATCCTCTAAACACCACACAAACAAAACCGCTCAGACAGGCAGGATCCAAAACAGGGCTGAGATGATTTTGCCATTGCTTCCCATCAAAAGTCAATAATCTTTGCAGCCCCATTCTTGAAAAACATTCCTCAAAAGAAGGAGGAGGTGAGCATGGGTCATGGGTATTGACTGCACGGAGCAAAGAGCTGAGGCAAAAGCTCTTCTTGGAACTGCACGTGCCTTCCCCTAGCATGAGTGAGACAATCCATGGAGAAACCTTTCAGAGACACCCAGGCCAAGTCAATCAAATCTAATATCTTCCCTTAAAAAGGGGTATTTGCTGAATCAGAACTTTGCTTTGAGCAGTGCCAGGTGAAATGATGGACTCAGTGGGAATTGTACAATGTTCCTCTGAGAAATTAGCCAGTACAGTCTGACAGCACTGCGTGCTTGAGGAACAGGTAGAAGGAGCAATGGGCGATAGAAAACAGCGAAGGGAAAAACTAATAGGGGGATTTCCCCTTGGCAAAAATTTCAATTCTGTAGAAACTATCTGATTAGTTGAATAAAATTAGGGAGAAATTTATTTAGAACGTGTGCAAAAATTTGTTTTTCTTGACATCTTCCCAACTGCTGTCTATTGAGAGCACCGGTCACAAGAGAGCTGGGGTGTGTGATGGAGAGGAGTTGGGGTGGCTCAAACTGGATGGGTAACAATTGAGGTTAAAAGATGTAGAAGAGTGGCTTCCAAGAGGCAAGTGCTGGACAGTGGCAGTTCCCTCAGCTCCAGGGATGTCAATGTAGAGACAAAGGGGAAAAGCCAGGAGCGAGATAGACAAAAGTCTAAGAATTAACACATTTTGTTCGTGAGATATTTTAACAGCTGGACCTCCAAGACTAATAATGGCAGGCTCCCATTTCGGTTATTCCTTCTTTTCACTATTTGCTCTTCTCTGTCTCTGTTTGTTGTTTGTTTTTTGTTTTGTTTTGTTTTGTTTTTCACCTGCGCTTCACGTAGTTTCTCTGTGGCTATGCATCCAGCACATTTGGCCAGTCGCCCACACCCACACCAAAGGTAAACTGAATACATGAGTTCCTCTGTTGTATATTCACCTCTCCTCGGCAACGATTGTGCTTTACTTTTGTCAGTTTCTTCCTCTTCCTGCACTACCTATAGAGGGTCCATTTCAAGTGACCGATGTGACGGAGAGCGTTTTTACAGCTTGTTGAATAGATGCAGATGTATGACTGTGTCATTTATTTCCAGGATTCAACTCAGGAGAGCTTTGTGATGATGGGAATCCGGTTTGGATAAAATCAGAACCAGCCCGAGCCAAAGTTTTGGGGATTTTTTTTCTGATGTTTTAATTGTTTTAATCAACTTTGATGGATCATCTGTGGGATTTGGCTGTTTTTTTATCGTGGTGCCTCCATTGGCTTCAGTGGGACATTATTCCTCCATGCAACTGCAAATCTGGCCTTGTTTTTCCCTTTTTGGAACAGGAAGCTGATAGTTCCCGTGCAAAGAGAGACTCCTGGACTGCATTTCTGGGTCACTTGGAAATGCCATCAATCTCGAGGGGGGTTAGGTTGTGTACAGGGGAGAGCTCAAATCCAAGCCTTTAAAGACACAGTTAAATTTGAATTTTGCCATGATCATCAAAACAGGCTCTTGGCACCTTTTTTAGGTCTTTTCTGTTGCATCTCATCTCCTGACTGGTTCTGATGGCTTCCCAAACCTTTCTTGCTAGGTATTTGGCCATAGGGTATCATATTGTGTGCTAAAGGTTTTGTGACATTAGCTTTGTGACTCTGCTTGCACTTCCACGACAATCTTTTGATAGCCAAAGGATTATGCTAGACATGGACCTGACTTCCAACATTCAGATCCTTGCATGGGGCTGAATTTCAACCTTCTTACCTCTGAAGTGTCTCAGGGTGTTCGGACTTGGAATTCCAATGAGTGGGATCTGACCCAAAATGACCCAAAGCTATTCATTCCAGAGCTGAACTCCTTCCCCATCATATCACGATTGAAAATTGTTTGGATAGCATCATCTCATTGGGCCCCGCTCTAGAGTTGTAGCAATGCCACATGGCAAAAAGTGCGTTAGGGTATGGTGAGATTAAGCCCAGGAGATACAGGGAAATGGGAGAAATAGCACTGATGATTTCTATTGGGTTTGTTCTTGTGATAGTTGTTCTTATAATATAACTTCATGTTTGTAGGTTTTCTAATGAATAATAATTGATGATATTTGTTAGGCACTGAGGCAAGGGTCACACCACCAAGCTAAAAAAGATTTTCCAGATATATTGATATCATATTGACATTCAGGCAGTCTCAACTTTCAGTGGTCACCTGAGGCCACCCCAGTGACACGTCATACAACAAAATTACAAGCAACAAACATCATTTTTCCCAGACTTCAGAAAAAAAGACTCGGAAACAGCATGTCGTGTTGGCGTGGCCCAGTTTAATGACCTTATAATCCTAAAGAGATGGGACGACGGTCCTTTGTCCAGAACTTTTCCCCAAAGTAGTGCTGGTGGTACATGCTTCTCTCTCCTTCCCTAACTCACCTTAAGTAATTGATCTTTCTGCATTTCCACTGAAACAGGTTGCCATCTCCCCCGCAGACCTAGTGGTGAGCATGGAGACCCTGGTGCACCATGCGGCCTTCTCCTTAAAGTGGGAGGAGAAGGTGCAGAGGGATAGCAGGAGTAACTCTTACCATTTGTGGCTCAGTGACATTTCTTCTTGTACTTGTTTTTCTCTTGGCTTCTGTTTACTTGATTTGACTGTTATAAAGAAAAAAAAACAACTAGTGATTGTCCTAGCTGGAACTCTGGGTCTGTATTAAGACCACCCTACTTAACATGACTTTGTGTCCACCTCATCCCACTGAATCCACAGGGTGCATATAGGCTGAAATGGTTATTGCTTCCTCAGCCCTGGACACGTGATACATACCTAAATGCATCCAAGGCACAAAGGGAAGGAATCTCAATAAGTTCCTAGAGACTTCACAGCTTCACAGAGATGCTGAGAAGTGTCCTGATGCTCCAGTTGTGCCATTGGGAATCTTGAGCACCCCATGCTGGCGGAACATCCCCTTGCATTCTGATGACGATATTCTGCCTTGACTCTTGTCTTGATGATATTCTTCCCTGACTCTTGGTGAGGCAACCACACGCATCTCTGCACCTCTAAAGCCAGACTGGCTTGAGGTGACAGAAGGAGGTGGCATTGAAGCATGTCTGAATGTCGTGCTGGCCTGTGCATCTTTCTGAACTTATCTTTCGAGATGCTGCTTCTCTGTGAATCGTGTAATTCTTTTCTTTTTCTTATTTTTCTCTTCTGCTTTTTTCCCTTTGACACTGAGCACAGGCTGAGTGACTACTAAGTGCCCCAATCTAGGCTACAGCACCTGTGAATCCTGCTCGTTCTTCCCCATGACACACAGGTCATGTCCTCCTCCTGTGTGGTAGACCCTGTATGGACACCAGTGAAGAGATAGTCTGTGTCCCCAAAGGTGCTACAGAGTTTGAAAGCTAGGGCATGTCTGGCCAGGAGAAAAGCAGAACGTATTCAGCTCTTTCCCCTTCAGACTATGGGGACTGGGTCTGTTTTGAGGTTAAAAAATGTTCTTCATCTGCAGTGAAACCTGTATCCTCAGTGCCTCGCTAGGCTGTGTTGGCCAGCTGCCCCACTCATTTTTTAGGCCGTTTTGGTGGAATAAGGGAAGAGGTTTGGTTCTCCCCATGCTGACATTGAGGTGAGGCATGAGGAACCACAATGACTTCAGTGGTGTCACCCTCTCCCTGCACGAGGAAGCTGATGCAAAACACTCGCCTGAGGTTTCGTTGTGTATCTGAGAGCCCAGTTAGTGCCCGTAGGGCTGGTGCCCACCATCCAGAGGGGTCTGTGCACAAACGTCAGGACCAGGAAGCACAAGAATGGATGGGATTATTGTGCAGTCTTGACAGAAGTGGTCAGACTGCTCTGACAATTTGGATAGGAAGACAAGCTGCTCTCTGGCTGCTCTCCCCTCCCTCCAGCCTCTCCCAGCAAAAAGCTCTCAGGTGTAAGGATGGAGATGGCACCACTGCTTTTTACGAGAGCTGGATGCCTACAAGGAAGAAAGGCAAGGTATCAGCAACCTAGAGAGAGACAGGTCTTGCTGTCTGGGAGTAAACCACTCATGCATTCCCTTGTAGACCCTTCTACAAAGTCTTGCACCCTTCCTACCACCACAGCTGAAAAATGACCTCTCCCAGGCAAGCTCAAATTGGCAAACCTGGCTAACATGCAGTTGCTTCCAACTTCCAGTCCTGCTCCTGCATCTGCTGCTGCTTCTAACCCCTGTGGCTATCCTTCCACATTGCTCAGAGGTGACCCCTTGCACATGATTAGCACAGTGATAAGAATACATGAATCAAAGCTATCCAAAGCAGGATTCTTGCTGAAACAGCCTATTCCTCATCAAATCTGTGACAGAATGTGAGCATCAGACTCAACAGTGCTCTACAGGTGGCAGCTACATCCATTAGTTACTCTAGATTTGTTAACAGTTTGTCCTTTGAGGGAGGATTTTGCTGGGAGAGATCACCGATAGCCCCTCACTGAGCTCTCCTGGACAAGCAGACCAGGTTTTTCTGGTGTGTGCATGTGCTGGGTTTTCTCTTGTTGGAATTCCATGATGATTTTCTGTTTGTGTGGATTGGGTTTTTTCCATCATCTCATCCAACCTGAGCTGTGCAAATTGCCTGCCCACAGCAGGGGGGTCGGACTAGATGATCTTTAACATTCCTTCCAACCCAAACCGTTCTGTGATTCTATGAAATTCCTCAGTTTTCAGGGGTGGGAATGTTCTGACAGGTTTTGAGCGCTATAAGATGAAGGGCATGTAAAGATTTTAGCAAAAGTAGAAATAAAACTCACCACTTTGCAAGATATAACAGCAAGGCCAGTGCCAATGGGGACTTTATGACTCCACGCATGGCATGAACACCCACAAAGAGGATGTTTGGAGGAAACATGCATTAAAATCCTGCTGGAATCCTTCCTTTGGGAAATCCCTGGCCATCAGGTCATGTCACAGTTTGCCTTATTTTTAATTTGGAGGGAGCTGCATCCCGGTGCCCAACTCTTCCTCCAACCCACCATCAGTACTCGCTGCCCCACAAAGGCTCCCTGAACACCAGACCCTACAAGACACATAGCACCACTATGGCTGATGTGTAATGAGCTTAGGTAATAGTGATTGACACATAAAATGAGCTGGGGGCTTCATTTCATTTAGAACTGGTTTAACAAATTTCTCTCAGGACAGAAAGAGGGGTCTATTGAGGGAAACCTCTCCATTCTGCTTTAGGAACGCTTGCTCCAAACTGGAGATTGGATTATTATTTTAACCAAGTGAGCTAAACCAAGCAAAATATTCAAAATCATCCTGATTCACCCTAAATACACACCTTATTTGGTCTAGTTCATATTTTTTTCCAAACATAGCTTCAATCTTCCCTGTAGTACAGGCTGAGGAGTATAGACCAGCAGTTTCCAGAGCTGTTGCAGACTGAAAGTGCCCCTGGCTTATATTTCACCTTATATGACATTACACCTGGTCTTATGCCCTATGGAGCAGGAGAGGCTCAGTCTGACATGAGGAATCACCTCAGCAGGGTTGGCATGACCTGCTGTGATGCGTGGGAACAGGGAAGCCCAAGCCAAGCTGTTCCTGAGGAACATCCCTGGGCAAATGCATCACCCCAAGCCGCAATGCAGAGATTTTTGATGGCCTGGAAGGGGTTGTTTGCTCTCACGGGCAGATCTTCCTCACGGCTCTGCGTAGGGCAGGTGGGATTGCCGGTCACAAAGGGAGGCTTGAGCAGGAGAAATGAAATGACAACACTTTTCCTCCCCGGGTAGAGGTGTCTGGAGCAGTTTGCCAAAGTTTGGCCATTGCAAGCCCATCAACTCTGCCCTGCCCCTCTCCTGCTGCAACACTCAACCACCTCTGGCCCAGCTCCCCTCTCCAGCCCCGGCTGTCGCGGGAGGTTCCCGGGGACGTGACTGGAGGGGAAAGGCACTGTTATCCTTTCATTTCCTGAGCCCGCTCCGCTGTGGTTTTGCAGGGAGCGGAGACGAGGAAGCGCTCGCCGACGCTCAGCAGCCAGTTCAAGCGGTCCCTGGAGCTGTTGATGAGGACTCTCAGCGTGTGCCAGCCCTTTTTTGTCCGCTGCATCAAGCCTAATGAATACAAGAAGCCCATGGTAAGTCCTGCTTTTTTGTCCTGGTTGCTTTTTGTATGGGAACGCCTGCAGGATCGCTGTGCCCTGAGGCCAACGGCACAACTTAGGAGTCGATGGAGCTGGGATTGACCCTGGCTGCTCAGTAAACCAACCCACAGCTCTTTCTGCAAGCAACAGTCACCAGAGGGTTGGCAAAATCGGGCACTTTCTTTGCGATCCAACAGCACCCCAAAGCTTTTTGCAGAGGGCAGCTCCTGCCCTGCCTTTCTTCCCAAGGACGACCTCAAGGAATTCACCCTGCAGCCCTTTCTCCTATAGGAAATGCCTCTGAGTTTCTATAGGGAGTAGGCACCTCCCTGCCAGAGACTTAGGCTGAGTTCGGTCCTATTGCAATGTTCAATGTTTCCTAAAAGTGATTCCTCTTCCCCAAATCTTTGCTTCTGAGGGATCTCACTCAGTGTCACTCCCTTTAGATCCTTTCAACTGCTTTTTTCCATGCCAATTGTGAAAGCACAGTTAAAAAAGCAGAGGGAAAAAAAAAAAAAAAAAAGAGGCAAAATAGCACAGAGGAAAGATAAGAGGAATTATTTTGCTCTGGTTCCCAGTGAGTCGCTTCAAAAGCAGCGAACGCTCTGGGGACAAACTTTCAGAATCAAATGAAAGGGAAGGAGATGGTTGTAAATCCCCTTGACCACGAACAGAGGGGACTCCAAATTTTGCAGCGAAAGGTAGATGATAAGGAGGAGGGTGCTGAACGCCCCCATCCCACTGTCAGCACCTTGCAGGATTGGAGCCTGGTGCTGTCAGCAACCACTGTTAGCTGCTCACCACTCCTAATAGTGATACTTCTTGGAGAAGAAGAGCTTTATTTAATCATAATTTCGGTTATTTGTTTCTGTGAGTCATTTTGCCCATGCCTTTGCACTTCAGCAGTGGCTAATCTAGCCAGAGCAGAACTGGAGCTTTATCTGAAGTCAGTGTCTGTTAGCAGAGCTCAACTGAGTGCAAAAAGTATAAAATACTGAATTTCAGAGCTGTTACATACAAGCAGTGTTTGAAACTTATTTTTGCTCTTCAGTGAACCTAATATGCAGGGTGAAAGGCTTGGTGGCTCTCTCAGAGCAATTTATTGTGCCTTTATCATGATTTTGGTGAAAGTAAAAAGGTGCCTAATCTCATGTTAATGGAATATTTTGGATTCGATTGCAACAATATGTCTGATCTGAGATTATCACCTGAGCTGAGCTCAGAACAAAAACTTCTTTAAGAATATGGGTGATGTTGAGAAATAGATGCATATCCTGAACTGATGTTAACAAATTATCCCCAGTGTCCTGACTTTGAGCTGCTTTTACACCTGGATGTCTGGGATTCGATCTGGCATTTTATCCCCTGCATAGCAAATCTGTATTTCATCAGCTCTTGCAAGCTCTAAGCTAGAAGTCTCTGTCCACCCCATATATCTACAAAACTAATGGTGGGACATAAAAACAGCTGTAAGTTTGAAAGAATCAGGCAAAGAGAAATTAATCTCCCTGTTAAAGTAGTGAGTGGATGAGCTAACACTGAATAAGAGACTGTAGTGCTTTAAGAGATGAAATGTGATTTCTTGCTAAATATATTTTTGGCCTTGGTTTAATAATACAAAAGAGGAAAAAAAAAATCTCAGATAATGGGACGCAGAGCTGTGCAGGGTGAATGCAAAAGAGAACGTTTTCTGGGAGTTCATTTTCTGTCCCTGGCTTTAAAGGAAAGTGTACTGATAGTGATAGGAAACGGGATAGTGGGAAGTGAAAGGTCAGTGGAAAGTCCTGACTCTTTGTTACTTTATGTTATTTTAAAGCTTTTGCTTCCTTCTAAAATGTGCTTTGGGGGGAAAAAAATTGTTTGTTTCGGGATGCTGGCTGGAGTTCTCTGGGTCTGTACATCGACCCACGCTGCTGTTTCTGAGCATTACTCTGTTGTTCTGAGTACGAGAGAAATCCATGGGGTGAATTAGGTAACAAACCATGCAAAGAAAGTCAAAACTGTCTTCAGCAGCCTGTGTAACATGGGTGCCTCATCAGGCCCTGACACCAGGAAGCTCACAGTTGCTCCTATGTGCAGTGAACTAGACCCAGAAACTCTGGAGGGTTATTTGCAAGCTCACAACTGCTCATATACCATTCTGCTTCTTGGCATGGGGAGACAGAGGAACACACACCTCTTTCCTCTTCACCTTTCTTGTCCCCACTCCACACTTTAGATAGAGACAAACTGAGACCAACTCTGGATGATGTGAGTTTTTACCTTTTCCTCACTGATCCACTGTCTTCTCCTGGGATCAGGATCTGTCCCATTTCGCTCCAGACCTTTCATGGCTCAGTGGCTGTTACCAGCTGGTCAAAAAGTTCCCTCCAGGGATGGGGAGATGGGTGCATCCATAAGGCAGATCCTCCTGTTCCAGGAGATACAGGGATATCTGAGATACAGGTACATGCCCATCTCACCTCCCTGACTTCAGGGAGAGCCTAGGTGACTCACATTTTAGATGCTCACATCTGTACGAGCACAGATACTCACATTTTAGGCTGCTGAAGGGAGGGGAGATGCCTAACGCCGTGGCAGTAACTCTTTGGCCCAGGCTGGGATTTACCATCTCAACTTTCTGTGGTGTGCCAGCACCACACCACATCTGCCTTTTGTTTTACACTTGGATTGAACATCATTCAGATGCTCCCAGCAGACATCAGGCTGCAAAAGGATGCTCTTAGGGGCTCCAGGATCCTCCTCAATCCACTAAAGCACCAAGCTGATGGCAGAGATTTTCCTCAACCTTCTTTGGCTGCAGTAGATCTGCCCATCTAGGAACATCACTCATTATCCACCCAGAGGTGCTCAAAGCATGGGTGAGCAGCCAGGTTTATCAGCAGACATCTGCAGGGTTACCTATGCCTGCTCTCTGGCCTTAAAACTGTCCATTGCTTGTCAGGAGCAGCCATGGATACTGGTCTGAGATTTGTCCTTACCCTAAAACCCTCAGCTGGTCTCAGTTCTGACCTGTTCATTTTAAGCTTCTTAGACGTTCTCCTGGGTACGGAGTGGTTTGATGGTAACAGGCTTATCTCAGAGCCTCGGCATCTGCAAGGCTGCACTTTTCCTTTGTGTCACTTCAGAGTGTCGCTTACCCTAAGATCAACTGGTGTAGGCACACTAAGACCTTTGGGTGTCTGAGCCTCCACTGGTATGGTCCTCCACTTCCTCTGCCTGTAAAACGGTGCTGCCCTGCCCGTACAGGAGTGCTGTGATCATGCCAGTAAAGCTCAGAGCATCAGTTGATGACTGTGAGTGGTCATTGCAAGGATGACCATATGGTTTGACCTTTGTAGATGCGGCTTCACTGCCCATTTTCCCAAGGTAATGCTCACCTTTGCACCATGTTCTCCAGTTCTTGTCTCAGTCATTTGTGCAATGAGTAGGACACATCCAGTCTTGCAAGCAGGAATTAAAGAAATGGAGTGAGTCAAACGCTCTCGGCAATTCCTAGGATCAGGCCCATGACAGCCAACAGTCCTGTGGCCTTGGGTCCACCAAGTGAAGGGTTTGGATGGAGGCCTGACTTGGTTGCCCCACACATCTTCAGAATCACCACTCTCTTATGGCCAATCAAGGCCAAGATGTGCAATCAAACCACCATGTCCTGTAACCTCCCCAGCTGTTTGACCGGGAGCTGTGCGTCCGTCAGCTGAGGTACTCAGGGATGATGGAGACCATCCGGATCCGCCGAGCCGGCTACCCTATCCGCTACACGTTTGTGGAGTTCGTGGACCGGTACCGGGTGCTCATGCCTGGGGTGAAGCCAGCATACAAGCAGGTGAGCATCTTCTTCCACAGGTAATGATTGCTCTCTGCTGGGATCTCCAGAGATATTTATAGGGTGTGCATCCTGTCTAAAAGCAATTATGCAACATTTGATCCCCAGATGTTAGTGATACTCTGGGCTTTCCAAGTGAATGGCAGGGACAGGTAGCCATATCTAGCCTGTCCGTCTCACTGACCTTGAATGTGGTGACAGTAAAGCCCTGGGAACCTCATTAGCAGAACACTGCTGGAAATGGGACCAGAAAAGGTTCCCACTGGGCTTGGGAGGAGTGATGGGTGAGGCTGGTCCTGGTGAATCCTGCTCCCTCTCCTGCCAGGGTGACCTGCGTGGGACGTGCCAGCGCATTGCTGAAGCAGTGCTTGGGAAGGACGATGACTGGCAGATTGGCAAGACAAAGATATTCCTGAAGGTAGGCGGCTCTCTGTGTCCCCCCTGCCATCTGGGACCCTTGCCTGTGACGGGATCTCCTACCATCCCCTTTTCATCTCCAGATATGACCCTTTCCCATGGTCTCTGGGCTGGCGTGGCAGTGGGTAGAACCTGGGCCAAGGCAGGATATTTGGGGCCGGTTTAGGAAGCAGCAGACAGGAAGAAGTCCTGACGCTCTGCCAGCACTGATGCATGCACGTACCCAATACAGACGCAGAAATATTCACATACAGCACACGGCTTTTTCCCTCTGGGGCTAAGCCGCTCAACCTCATCTCCTGCCTTCACCCAAAAGGCACAGCACCTGGAGGGATGTCCACACAGAGACCTGCAGAGAGACGGACCAAGAGCACAGCGGGCTCGCTTTACTTTCAGCACATCCTTACATCACCCAAAATGTGCCTCCAGCCTCCCTCTCTGCATTGATATGGAGCAGCCCGACGTTGCAGGCTGCCTCCAGCCCCATTTGCACGCATCTCACCTTACAAACCCATTCCTGGGTTGCTCTGGGAAGATGAGGCTGAGCTGGCCAGGAACCAGGCTGGTAGCAAAGACTTCTCTCAAGCAAAAATCTCGGTAGTAAACCCTGACTGCATACCCACCCCCAACCCCATCGCCAGCACGAGCACCCCCATCTCTTCTCTAGAAGCTATTCCCACTAGTTGCTCTTTCCAGAGCCTGTTATCAAGATCTTGCAGCTGTCAGGGCAGGAAATGGAGAAATCGGGAGGCCCCGAGGGGCTGCGTGAGGTCGAGCAGAGCAGGAAGCGTGTGGAGCTGCCTCCACGGCACCCAGCATGGCAGGGCTCGGCGTGCCACCGCCGGGAAAGCACGGCGAGTTACGAACGGCGTGGGAGGAATCAATGGGAAACTTAGACTGATACGTCTGAAAGCCTCAGGGCGAGGAAATCCAGTGTTTTGGGGAGCTGTTTTGTCCTTAGAGTGTCGAGGCATCGCAGCCTTGGCTGGAGGGAGCGATGGGACCCAGGCAGCCCGGGATGTGTTCCCAAACCTCTCCAGTGCTCCCAGAAACTGCTCCCATGGCTGATGGCACTAGCAGAGAGCTTTGTGTGGAAGGAAAACGTAATGTGTTTGTTTTCAGACTATGAAGTACTGTATGTGCAGCTTCTGGATGCTCTGGTTTGTTTGGGAATGAAGGCAGTAGATCACTAGGGTTTATGTTAGGATTTCCCCAGTGAGTAGGTGGGGTGGTACTTGGGATGTAAAATGTCCCAGGAGTTTATTTTGGACAGCTCCTCTGGGGAAGGGCCTTGTACCACCCCTCCTGCCACATGTCAGGCATATGGAGAGCTTCAGACATGGGCGCTGTGTCGTTTCCTCCCACAGGACCACCACGACATGCTGCTGGAGATTGAGAGAGACAAGGCCATCACGGACAAAGTCATCCTCATCCAGAAGGTGGTCCGTGGGTTTAAAGACAGGTAGGTATGAGCCTCACTGCCAAATGGGAGGTGGGCTAATGGGATGCTTCACCTAGCAAGCAGCTCCTGGAAGATGTATCACCTAGTGTTTATATGACCTGTCCTGCCTGCAGCTGGGGAGAGGGGAGCCCTGATGTGTTGGCACTCGGGTGCAGCAAGTATCGGAGGAAAACAGTAGAGGAAACAAGAGGAAAACTGTGTTATCTGCCTCAAACACGGACAGAATAGGAGCTTCCATCCCTGTTCAGTGCTGTCTTCAGAGGAGCTGATGTTTGTTATGGCAATGCAGCAGTAGGACTCTGAGCCTGCTGAAGGCAACACTAAACCTCCAGCCTATGAGGAACCCCACAAGACTGCAATAGGACCATTGGGGTGTCTACTCAAAGTTACTGTCCTCAAAATCAAACTCGGGTTCAGGACTCCCTCCTTTGCAACCCAGTTACCAGACTCAGGAGGAGGGTAGGTAGTCCATAGGGAGATTATGGCATAGTTGTGGAAGAAGAGGGGGAGCCACAGGTAAGGACGAGCTTCACCAATGGAGGACAGACAGTTCTTGGGGCTCAGTGCTCTTCAACTGTCCGAGCCATGGCTGTGACTCAGGTTGTGCCTTGGGTTTCGCAGGAAGGGCACTCAGTAACCCTTCCCACAGTAATTCTCGTGAGTCCCTGAAGTCCTTCCAACACAATAGTCCCCAAGGTGTCTACAGGTAGGATCAGGCCAGGCTGAGAGGGATGGGAGGAGCAGTTTGGGGTAACAGGGTGATGTTGCTGAAGTTTCCTCTTGATCATTTGAGTGAGATTGAATCTGTTCTCAGGTGCTGGGATTGAAGCAGGGGGAGCTGGATGGGAAGAGATTTCAGATGAGAGAGAAGGGTGCAGTGGTGGGGAGGAGGGGACTATTCTCAGCATCTCCTGCTCTGCCCGTTCCTATAATCCGGCAGAATCTGCCTACAGAGATCTATCAGAGAGAAACCCTACAGATCTTTTCATGAAAGCAAGGACAGCTGCGGGGAGATGTTTTCAGGCCAAAAATGCAGTGTGTACTCCACCTGGCTGCTCAGCTTCGAATCTCCAAAGAATGAGGACCAGGACATGATAACTTGTAGCCAAACTGCAGAGGCAAGTGACTGAAATGCCTTTGCAGGTCCAATTTCCTGAAAGTGAGAAATTCAGTCCTGATGATTCAGAGATACTGGCGCGGACATAACTGCAGGAAGAACTACGGTGCTGTAAGTATGAGGGTGCTTCCTCACACCTCTGCCTTCCTACCTCTTTCAGCTGGGACCTATGTAAGAATTTCCTGGCTCAAAATGCCCTTCCTGAGTGTAGGAGGGGTTGGGGTTGACTTTTACCAGCTGGAGTGATAAATGAAGGTTTGCTTTTGTGGCTTTGACTTCTCATTGAGGAGAGCACCTGACCACCTTTTAGCTGTCCTTTTCCCCACCATGAGTTAGATGTCCATTGCATCAACTGGTCACTTGGGGTTTTAAAAGTCTTCCCCTAATTTCCCCGTGACTGAAGACTCAAGAGCAGCTTCTTCTGAAAAACAGACTCCATCTCTAGATGGGACCATATCTGAGTTTCTCCTTAACATGGCCCTCTTCTCTACCTGTCCCAGCTGGCTCTGACCTAACAGTGGGTCATCTGGGAAGTGTGCTGAGGTCTAAAGCGTCTTAGTATCATCCTCCTAGACTGCAACTTGATAGAAATAGCCACTTCCAGGCTGGTCAGGATGCCGCCTCCTGCTGCAAAACAGCCACTTGGCTGCCAGGCAGGAGGTGGGAAGGTACTGGAGCTCCATGGGAGCAACCCTCATGACTTGTGGCTACCTTGAGGTGACCAACTGGACTTTCTGAGGCCTCTCAAGGGCAACAACTCTGTAGGACTCAGTGAGGGAAAAACTGCCATTATCCTTCCCGGACTTTGAATCAGTGCAGCAGCCGGAGGGCTACATTTCTCCACCTTCTTGGATAACCTCCCTCCTGAAGGCTTGTTCTGGTGGGGACTGATTTTGGTAGCTCTTAGTTACAGCCGTTCAAGGAGGAGATTAGCGATGGAAAATCTGCTTAGGCTGGGCAAGTCCCTGGGCAGCGAGGTGGTTTCATCCTGCTCCCTCTTGCAGATGCGGATCGGCTTCCTGAGACTGCAGGCCCTCTACCGATCCCGCAAACTCCACAAGCAGTACCACATGGCTCGCCGGCGGATCATCGAGTTTCAGGCACGATGCCGGGGCTACCTGGTCCGTAGGGCTTTCCGCCACCGCCTCTGGGCTGTCCTCACCGTCCAGGCATACGCCCGGGGCATGATCGCCCGAAGGCTGTATAAGCGTCTCCGGGGGGAAGTAAGTACCATGGAGGAGAGGTTGGTCGTGGGAAACAGAGGTGGGAAGAGGGGAAATAAACATGCATCTGCATCATGGGATCAGTTTTTAAAGAGGAAAAAAGTAGATTCAAAAAAAAAGTATTCAAAAATAAGTAGAAGCCTGTCCAAAAGGGCTCTTGTGTTTATTCCACCAGTATCATCGACGCCTGGAAGCAGAGAAACTTCGGCTGGCGGAGGAGGAACGACTCCGAAAGGAGATGAGTGCCAAGAAAGCCAAAGAGGAAGCAGAAAAGAAGCACCAAGTACGCAGGGACTGATCTCTTTCTGGGATTCTGTCTCTGTTTTCCGAGGACTGGTTTGGCTCCTTTGAGGGGGAATGCCAAAAATATCTGAGGGATTTCTGCCTTGCTGGAGCGGTTTGTGTTTGATTCACTAAAGTAGTCTGTGCTCTAACTAGTTTGAAGCTGCTCCAGAATTTCT